TTTTAAAATATTTTTTGAGCTGAAGAAGGTGAAAACATTGAGTAAGTCCAGCGTTATAAACACTTAGAAATATTTCAGTGGAGAAAGTACAAGCTGCAGGGATGCCTGAAATACACATTCTGCCTGATGAATGTGCTCGAATTCTTTGGGTGCACTATAAATTGTCAGCCAAAAGTGAAACAAATACAAATAATTTTATTCAGAAGACAAAGCTGTGTCTCACAGAGGAAAAATAAGAAACGTTGGTTGTAGAACACCAGTGGATTTTTTTAATGTATGTCTGTTCAGTATTTGACCTGGTTTTTCTTTTTCCTGCATCTTTCTTATATCTTCAACATTCTTTAATAAAATTGCAAGACAGAAGTAAAAGAACAAAATATTATAGCTTGTACCAGTAAAAATATTAAAAAAAATAAAACAAAGATTTCTCTTGGGTGCTTGGTGTGCTCTTGGCAGCCCATTTTCAAACTAGTGTAGGATACTCCAGCATAGTCCTGGACTATGACTTTTTTGAGTCAGCGCAATCTGCGTCTTAATGCTTGCTTAAAGGTTTAGGTAGTGTGGATGTCAACATGATAATCCATGTGTTTACATGCACTGCTCATTCAGTTGCAGGATAGATCACTTCTTGGTATACTGAACATATTTCTTCTGTTAATGCAAACTAATTCCATATGCTCCACTTGTGACTGTCTCATCAAAATATCGAAGGAAGTCTGTATGGCTCTAATTTTTTGTTTCTATAGAAGAAAGCTTTGAAGTTGCTATCTATGTACCCAGGTCTCAAATATGCACTATAACTGAACAGAATTAATAAAATTAGGCTTATTACTCACATTTTTGTGCTAAAGGCATTTCTTTTTATGGCCTATATTCATAAGTCTTGTTATAGTACTAATGTAGGAAGTGGTAATTTCACCTTTTATCCAGTATTATGTAATTTTAAACATCACATTAATGTCCATATGTTCTGGTTGAGTCTACCATATCTGCATGAAGTTATCTTTCAACCCACATTCTCTCCGGTAGCCAGTGATACACCTCTGTAAATTATCCTGAAAGAAGGAATTGTGTTACTTCTGAATTACTAACTTTTAATGATTTTCTTTTGCCACCGGAAAAAATCATCAGAAAAGGCACCCTCCTTCAATTTAGGGGACCGAAACACAATGGGAATTTCCTTAGGAGAAGTCTTTCCCCTACTTACTCATGTAATTAACTTTTGTCTTTTGTATCAGGCTTATTAAGCTCACTGCTGTGTTTTGAAATTATGCCCTTAGACCTTCCATAGAATTAATTATTACCTCTTTGTCTCTGCTTGGGGCCTGAAAATTCTACCCTTTCTCAGAGGCTTGAAATAACAACTTTTTTCAAAATATATTTCTATAAATGCTTTGTGATACCTCAAAGTCCAATGACTTTCCTTCCTTCAGTTAATTCTCTTGTTCTTTGAAGGCCTGCTTTTTCCTATTTAAAGACAAAAAGAAGGCCTAAAATTGTTTGGGAACTGGAAGCTGTTGAAGAGGTTGCTGGACCCTGTGGTCAAAGTAAAAAGCAAGATTTTCTGTGTTTCTCCTTCTGTGTTTGTCTCTTACACCTTGATCCCAAAAAAGTTTTTTAAGAAAAAACAAACAAAAAGCACAAACCACAACAAAATAAAACAAGGTAGAAGAGTTTACTCTGAGACTTTTCTTTCCTGTTTTAATAAAAATTCTTCATTATATTGATGCTGATACTTTTGTTTAGGAAATTACTGAACTGTAGCTAATATCATGTTTGTGTTTCAACATTAAATATTTTTAAAATGTTGAAAGAATGACTTTCAAGTTCTTTAACTTCAAGTGGAATTTCAACTGAAGGGTTGAAATGCAAGGTAATAAACAAAGCTAGGAAAACAAAGTAATTTTCAACCTACAGGTTGCTGGAACTTTTAGAGATTATTCGAGTAAGGCAGGAAAGTTCATGGGATCTAGACACCTAACTCCATTGGGCTCCTCTGTATAGTTAATAATGAGTGTTCTATATGAAATATTTTAGTACTTTCTGTACCAGAATAACAGAGCTGCACTATCTGTACCTGGCCTGAGATACAGGAGTTCAGAAGAACTGAAGTTAAGGTCTCTAGGGTACGTGTTGTGTAAACTTAGTGGTGAATTATGTCACTCATGAAGTAAGTAGAAGTAATGTGTCTGAAGTAAGTAGTCATAATGTGTCTGAAGCAGTTGATGGCATCTCAGCATCACTGCCCACCTGGCTCTCTCCAGCAGATTCTGGGAACGTCTTGAAAATCCCACAGATGCATTCTGTTGTTTGTTAAAGTAGGGTGACCAGAGAGTCCTTGATGTCTTACCAAATGTTTGGTGTTTTTTTTCACCAATTCTGCACTTCTGAAAACTATTTTTGTCTCTTAAAAATATTTGGGAATATGAGCAGGCAAAAGATATGTTCATGGAGACAATACTGGCTGCACCCAGCCAAGATGTACTTACTAGTTAGACACTAAGTTAATCACCAAGTTAGTCACCAATGTGATTTTGTGTCTTGGGTAACATCAGCATAAACCAATCTGGAGCAGTTTAGCCATGTCAGGGTTTAGCAGTTTAGCCAGGCAGGGACATACTTACATCTTTTGCTAGTACTCTAAAAAAGGCATCTTGCTTATACTTCAGTGTTAATCTTTCTGTCAGCTATCAGTAAATATCTGTCGGTAGATTTTTCAAAACTTTAATTTAACCTACCTGCTCCACCTGCATCTTCTGGCTTAGTTAATTATTGCTGTTTCCTCATTTATTGCTATCTGGATCTGCTGTACTTGTCTTTTCCTAACAGGCTGAAAAGCAGAAGTGGAAGGGAGAAGTCACTGTTGCCTACACATTCCTTCAAAAGTGTACAGATTCTTACTTCATGCAAAATGGCTGGCCTGATCTCACTGTTTCAATTGTTCAGATCTGCTTCTCCTACATTATCTGTCATGCTTATAACAGTTATCCCCATTGACCATAACAAAAACTTTTACGGCATTTGATGATGTCACTTTCATTCCTTTAATGACTCAATCCACAAGCTACCAGATGTTATCCACCTGCCAGTACTGAAGCCAACTTGATCTCTGCTAATCGAGAGCTTTATGCAGTTTTCCAATCTGTTTGCCAAATTATTTGAAGGCATTTTTGATATTGAAACGGCATGGCAAATGGCAAGAGACTTACTGGTTTGTCTTCATTAAAGGTGACAATATTTCAATCAGATTCATTCAATTTTAACTGTCCTTCACTTAGAAACATCATTAAAGATTCTAAACAGCTTAGGAGAAAATATTACTTACAAAAGCTTAAAAATCTCAGCTGGGAATCCATCTGTGCCTGTAGCTTTTTTTCTTGTTGTCAACTACTTAATTACCTGGCTAATTTCCTGATGCAGAATTTGTGTCTCCTGTCTAAGCAGCTACATCTAACTTGGGGGGGATTTTCTCCATCAAGAGTGATGTAAATAGCTATTTCTCCCAGTGGAAATATAGTCTTCATGCAATGTGTATGTTTAGTCTGATGGCCTTAGTGTTAGACAACTTGGTTCTTGTGTTGTTATTTTTGTTGTTGTATTTTTGAATTCTCAGCTGCAATTGTTCCTTTCTAAACCATCGGGTTTGTTTTATTATTTTTTTCCAAAGAAATATCTCTGTGTGAATTGGATGAGAGACTTGCTTTCATTACATTTTGATGTTCCTGAACAGTTTTGTCCAGCTTTTTTATGTATTTTAATTGTTTTGGTAGGTTCATCAGTCACTAATCACATAGTTGAAGAGCCATTTTTAATGACATCTGTGTGGTTATAGAATATTTGACTTATGTTGTTGGTTGCTGTCTAAAAATAACAGTCTGGGCTTTATTCTGAAGTGGAGAGGAACTCGTCATGAATAAACTGAGATGGAGCCATACCTAGTTCTATAGGTCTGTAGTTTGGAACCTGTGAGCAAGTGGTAATTATCAGGAATAAGTTACAGTTAATTCATGGACAAGTGAGTGTGAGTTATGGTATCTGAAGCATAGCAGCATTGCATTTTAGGCAATGTTTGGTCACAGAAAACATTCTAGTGTCCTGGGCTGCAAAATCTGTGCTAATTACTTATAACTGTGGTGTCTCCTCTTCTTCATGAGGAAAGGAAGTATCAGAAGAAGTAAGAGTGAATCCTATTGAGCTCAAAATAGTGTTGTGAGTTTTGGCTGTTTCATTAGTTCTTTGCAAAGTGGTTTGAAATCTTTGATTAGAAAGTGGCACTAGAATGAACATTACTGAGGTTGAGATTTTCTTCTAGTGTTTCAGAGCCCATAGAGAAAAAACAGTTGTCTTAACTGCTAACAATCCTGTGGAAAGTAAAATCAAACATGAATGCTTTCATTTTAAAACAGATTAGCCAAATGAACATCAGAAATGTGTAACATCAGAAATCAGTGGTCCAAATGGGCCTTCTAGAGGTTTTGTAGATTGCACCATACTTTGGGGAATTTTGATTGTGCAAACCTTGGTATAAGAAGGTTGTCACCAATCTGATGACTGCTGCTACAGCCTCTGCCAAGAGGACAGAAACCAGTGAACAGCTTCAAGTATTAATCATGTCTGTCTTCATTTCTCCCATATGTAAGAACTGTTCTGTATTATAAGGGTTAGATGGCAGCTGATGGCAGCCTGCATACCAGGGGATATGGCAGTCTTGCATTCTCTTTTTGTGCCCAAAGAAATGGTAGATGCAAGTAAGATATTAAATTCAAGGAAACTGTACACCATAGCTGGGAGAATTCAGTAAATACTACACAGATCAGCTAATCCTTCTTTTATTGCTAACTTCAGTTAGCTCTTTGCATACACGTACAGTGCACTTTTTCTTTTAAGCATCATATTTTTCCATAAAGGATTGAAGTAGCTTTGAGCACTACCTGGCAACAACACCCTTGCCTCTTCTAATAGTTCCAGCATTGCTTTCCAGGAGTGTGGCTCATCTACAGCATTGAGACAGAGCCCTATGGCAGGAAGGCTGCAGAGTCCTGCCATGTCAGAAGGAGAAGGGAGGTCACTGGGCAACCCTTACTCATGGGGAGTGTGCGCTCATTGCAGCATCAGACCTGCCTCTTTTCTTCTCTTGACCTGCACAGACCAGGAGCAGTCCTTGAGTGCTGTACCTGGGATATTGCAGATGGAGCCACATGCCTGTAAAACAGTGACCGTGTCTGCAGATGCAAACAGGTTGCATGGAAATCACATCACTTCCTCATCCTCATCTTCTCCTCAGGTTCTAATTGAAAAGAGGCTGCCATTGCTTCCCAAACAATTGAAAACCGCACAAAACCAAACTTGGGGTTAGAACTCCCTCTTTGACTTTGGTTCAACACTGTCAGCTGGAAAACTTCCATCCAGAGGTGGGTGTGAACCTCTGGCTTTTTAAGTTGGTCTGAATGTACTGCTGCTGCCCTTGCTTTCCAGAAAATGTCATAAATTGTTTAAAGAAAAGAAAGAAAGATGTTTCCCAAGAAAAGTGTAAACATTAACAGTGCTGCTCAGCAGAAATATGCTATGGCCTTTATCCACAGGGAAGGCAGAGGAAATTGGGACTTCACCTTTCTGACCTCTTGCAGGAAAAAAAATGTGTCCAACCCATATAATTGTATTTTGATGTCAGCCTTCAACAAAGTTCCAAATAAAGAGAGATGAAGGCTCCCTTCCCCATCCTCCTGAGAACAAGTTTTGATTCATAACAGGAAAAAAGAATGGTATTATTATGTCACCTTTGTATGACAGAAAACTATTTTGATTTTTTGAACTTCCTTCTTGGAGGCATATAAATACACCAGCCTCTTAAAAAGCCTAGCAGGGAGTTTTCTGAGTCCATGCACCATAGGCAGTTCACAGTCAGTACACATTTCTGCTAGTGGAGCTGTATCCGCATCTTAAAATCTAGACGCTAAGCAGACACCTGTGTTCAATCAGGCATCTTGACCATGCTGCTTGCTCTTAAGGTGCAACCATGCTGGCAAACTGAGCAATTTTGTTGCAGGACCAGGAAGAAGAACAGCCATGAGGCATGCGTTTGTCCTGAGCAGGGGCATTGCAGCAAGCCAGGTGGGGGGCTGTTCGGATCAGGAGGAGATGCCCCCCTGATGTGAGAGGGAAGATTCCCAAATTCTCTGTGTTCTAGAGGAAGGCAATACACTATTCTGTGTACAGAGGAAGGCTGGTGCTGGTGGGGCAAGGGGAAGGATGGAGAAATGAGAAGGGGAGCAAGAGATGTTCAGTGTGAGAGAGGTTGACTTGGAGTTGTCCCGAAGGCTGTCAGGGGAAGATACGTTCATGCCAATGCTAGTGTGGTATCGAGGCAGTTTTGATTTCTGAGGAGTTCAGAGCCCTGGGTCTTTTCCAAGGCCTTGGGATGGGGTTGTGCTAACAATGTGCATTTGCTGGCATACAGCAAGATGTATGCCCAGTTTTTTCCTAAAGGTGTCCTATGTAATTCAGGAGCAGAGCAAGTTTTACTCTGAGTTGCCAGCAACCTGTTTACTCATGTAAATAAGGTCAAATTTGAAAAGATCAATCAGCCTTTTATGACTGAAATGTCCCTTCAGTACTTAAAAATATGCAACCATGGGTGCTCTAAAAGGACATCAGAATTACCGGTATGTGTTTTGGAGTCTGCTCTCCATCAATAAAGATGTCATTTGCTTCCTGACTTGCCCTTAAACTTCAGAATTGCCAATAAAGGTTGTGGAAAAGCCACAAAACTCAGGATTTTTGCTAAAAATAGAATCCTTTTGTCTTTTCCCAACAAGGATGTCTTTAGAAAAAGCCAGTGGCAAAGCTTACAACTGAATGTCTGCGTCACAAGAGTGATGGCACCACAAACTGCAAGTAATAATCCTAGCAAATAAGGGAGGATAATAATACTTTCTATGCATTTCTTTCTGCTTTCCCTTTGTAGGCTGATGTCATCATTACGAATTGTCAGTTCCTAGTATCACAGCTAATGCTCTGGTGGTTTTGTTAGAAAGACAGTTGCTGTAGCGGCAGCAGCTAATTGTTCTTTGGATTTGTCTTTCATTGTAGAATTTTATGAATAAGTTTGTAAGTAAGTGAACTTGAACCCTATTTGAGTCACTTGGGTTTGTCCCCTCTTGCTGCTAGCTTTATTCCCAGGTTAAACCATCTGTCTAACAAAAAGTACCTGTTTCCAGAATTAGCTAAGGGGCACTAAGAAAAGCGTTTGACACTAAAATAGAGAAGTAAAAGTACAGTATTGGCAGCCTTAGGTTTCAGAAATGCTTTCACTGTATTATCGTCAGCTTTTCCAAAAGCTGCAGTAGCCTCTGGTGACCTGTCTGCAAACACTTCCATTACAAAGAATAATAAGTGAGGCTATCCTTTGTCAGTTCTCTTTCAACATGTTCTTAGGAAAATAGCAGAATGTCTCATCAGACAAATGAAAAGCAAGGAGAAGTATAAAGGAATGTTACCAATAGGCAACAATGTAATTGCTGAATGGGGACGATACTGCTTACAATTCTGGTTTTCCTGCAGTTGTCTTCAATCCCAGAAGCCTCATTTTCAGCAGGATCAAACCCCTGCACTATTCAACAGTTTTCCCTTTAGTATAGGAGGTAATTTACCATTTCAGTTGGCCTTGCAGTGACTGAAATATTTAGGGGATTTGTGTAGTGACAGAAATAGATAAGATGTTTGAGGCAAACAGCTTAGTTCTGTTTTGGAAAATCTCCATGGGATTTAAGAGGATGCACTGATGTAATACAATTGGTGGGTTTATTAAAATTCTTTCTGAATAACATCTATGGTAAAAGTGTTTCTGAATAACATCTATGGTAAATCTATTCCCATTACAAAGTCTTCCCTCTCTCCTACCACCCCCCTGCATAATATCCTTCCTGAATGAGTCAGAAACCTGTCTAGCGATGTAAATAATACAGCAACAACAAATACAGAAATATTTTTAAAATTTATTTATTGTCTTTATAGTTCTATATAGCTGTGAAAATCACCAACAAACAGATCTTCCAGTGTAAGCTAAAGCTTCAGGCAGATTCAAGTCATTGTTTAAAAAAAAGTCAGAAGTAGCAGATTATCTGTTTGTTTATATACTATTTCTAGCTTGCTTAATCACAGTTCACAAACAAAAGTAAGAGTACTGACAGTCGATGTAGCACTGAGTCCAAGCACATCTATGTCTATGTGCATATGTAAAAATGAAGACACATGCATTCACCGATACGGAACTAGATTGCTCACACACACTGGTAAAAGATTATTATTAATGATGCACTCAAAAAAATAAGAACTAGCAAAGACTGAATGTTGCTGGGGCAACCTTAATTTGGTTTCCTGGTGTCTTTGCTGCAACAGAAGCTGTTTGGAAATTTTTCTATGCAATGTTTTTGTCACAAAACACCAATCTATCAATATCAAGACACTCCTGTGCACATTCTGGTTTTGGGAAACATTTTCTCTAAGCCCAGACTGGAATTCTTATGATGAGAGAGACAATTCAGGACTGGTTCAGACCAGTTTTGTAAACTTGGCTTGTTGCAGAAGGCAGCCCTATCTAGGTGACTTCCAGGTGACTTTCCAGGCCTGGCCTCTATTTTATTTCCTGGTTTTCTGACTTGGGGCAGTAGAACCATGTTGCAGAAATGCTGAATGCTCACAGCTGAAGCTGTAGTTAGTGGAACACAAGCTCTGGAAATGCAATACTAAATAATTATAAGAAACGGGTTGCACACATTTGAAATTGCTTACCACCTTTGACTGTCTGTGCCTCTCTTCTTGATCTGTGAAACGATTCATTAACATTTGTGTATCATCAGTATAGCACTATTATGGTAAGCACCACAGAAAGCCCTTAAGGAAATTTTATATTCTTTTTTGAAAGCAGACTTGAATAGTGTTCAATGAATAACGCATTAGGCAACAGTGTATTGAACAAGGAAAGAATGAAATATTAAACATCTACAGGGCACTGCCTTTCCTAAGTAATTTAATGAGGCAGAGGTCTTGTGAGAAGAAACCTCTGGGTGACTGTGTCACCATACATCAGGACAATACATATGTACAACAGAGGTTGAAGTAAGGTTGCACAGACAGCCTTAATGCTGGGATTTCCTAAATCCTGAATGCTTAACTTTTTGTCATCTTTTAGAAGAACAGTATTCAGGTGGGCTTTCCGTGGGTAATACATGTATAATCTGCAGAGAAATTATATGCCAAATGTTAGGAATATTTCATTGGGATGAGTTTCATTGATCTTATTATTTCTAAACAGTCAGTAATTGGAATTATATTTAATTAACATATTCATTAAAGTTACATACATTGGTCTATGCAGAAGTCAGACAAGCAATAATTTTTCCATTAGTATGTTTTCAAGGCCTCCACGCAAAGCTGGGATATGATATTTCCTGTACACACAAGATTACCCCATACTTGCCCCCCGTACCTCTCTATTCCTTTCTTGCTGGAAATTTGCACCAGCTGTGGCCTCCTTTGAGCCAACAGAACTGTGGTGGGATTCAGGGTGGAAGTAGGGACAGATGAGAAGGAAGTGAGGGTAGTTCAAGGAGTGAAGGTGCCTTTTAAACTTAGGTGTTCGCAGCTCTGTCTCTAAAGTTTGCCGCCTATCTGAGAACATCCCATTGTTGATGAGAACATCACATCTGTTGAACATCACAGGAGTATGCATAGCACTGCTGAGATCTTCCGGATCTGCAGCCTGATTTCTTGATGTCTTGTGAAGGTGGGCATTCTCTCTTTTTGCTGATTAAAAAGTAAAAATTCCCTTACCCATCAGTAATGAGGAAAACCAAATAAAATTCCAAATGCAACTCCTTGGTGCACTGATGGGACAGGGACCAGAAGAAAAAAAAAACAGAAATTCTCATACTCTTGAGCAGTAAGACCCACATAACACTGCAAGAAATATCTTCTCATTCTCCAGTGTGTACAACCAGAGGTTTCTTCAAACTTCTCACAGTCAAGATCCTGGACAGCCCATATAGCTGGCTCTTCTGCAGAATGCCCAGACACTTTCATCCTGAGGATCAAAAACCTCAATGACAGGGTTTTCCTCAAAGAACACAGCTTTATACCAGCCAGCCCCAGCGTACTATTGCTTCTTCTATTCATTTAGAAGAAACATACACCAGAAAATGGGGAATTAGTGTTCAGACATTTAGGGGGAATGAAAACAGAAGAGAGAGAGAAATAGTGTTACATTAAGCATTACCTCCACTACCACAGGAAAAGCTCTCCTGAGCAAAATGATATTTATGTGAAACTGCTATTACAGACTATGAGATGCCTCTGTCACCCCAAAGTAAATATGTTTAAGAATGAGTTGTCTGTGTTCAGCAGAAATACATTACAGGAGGCAAGCAAGGATTTCTTTGCCTTCTGTGAAGGCGTAGGTTATACATTACTCTCTTTGGAATGTCCATAAGAAAGTTACTTAATACTCTGAGCAGTACTTACTGGGAAAGGGAAGGCAACTATTATCACTTGGACTCCCCCTTTGGGGGATGCTGTGATGATAACTTTCCTGTTTAAATTTGGGAAACACATAGCGCACAAATGAGTGAAGTTCATTGTCTTTGAAGTTTCCTATGTGAGTCATGGTGAAGATTCTACATAATTACATTAAAATTACAGGGACAGGAATCAGCATGCAAACAAGCCATGGGCAAACATATAGTTACGTGATTCTATCAGCTATACAAACGAAAATTAGCTCCCTTTCCACACTACTTGCCATGCTCTCTGTGTTACATAAGTTAGTGATAATATCTAAATATGTTTTCAGAACATAGAAAAGTCTTGCCAGCATAATAAATCAGTGTAAAAGCCTAGCAGGAAATTTGCTGAAAGCCAGTATTAGTAATTCATTTAATATCAAACCTGCCAAGCATGCCTATTTTGGGGACCCAAATACAGAAGCTTAAGCCAAGTACTCTAGCAAGAGCACTTTTCTGTCACGGTTCAGACAACTTGCATTGGCTCACAACCCTGTCTTAATATTTCCAGCTTAGCGGAGAGGCACATTAAACAGTCAGTGGTGAGAGAGCTGACAGAGTGGCTGGGAAGTCAAGAGGTAAGGCTTGCTAAAGGGACACATGTATGAATATGTCTAACAGAGCTTGTCTAACCCACACCAGTGCTACAAGGAACCTGAGCAAACTCAGATTGCACTGCGCACTTTCACTCCTGGCTAACCTGACTGTTAGACAGAATCATAGAATCACAGAATCGTTAGGGTTGGAAAAGACCTTAAGATCATCTAGTTCCAACCCCCCCGCCATGGGCAGGGATGCCTCACACTAAATCACGCCACCCAAGGCTTTGTCCAACCTGGCCTTGAACACTGCCAGGGACAGAGCATTCACAACCTCCCTGGGCAACCCATTCCAGTGCCTCACCACCCTAACAGTAAAGAACTTCCTCCTTATATCCAATCTAAACTTCCCCTGTTTAAGTTTGAACCTGTTACCCCTTGTCCTGTCACTACAGTCCCTAGATGACTATTAAACATTACTGATAGCAAACAAAAGCTTCCTTTGACTAAGTTTGAAGGGGAATGAAAAGTATTTTGTAACTGTCACCCAAGTATTTCTCCCCGTGGAGGACAAGGAGGAGGGGCAGAGGGAAGGAAGTCTTGCAGAACAAGTTTCATCACTGACTACAGTCCTTTTATTTATCGCTGTTCTCTTTTCCTTTTGATGAAAGGAAGTCCAAGTCTTTCCCTGTGGTAAAGTACATTGTATTTTGTGATGGGCATCTGGAATGTATATTAAATGGACAGTCTTCCAAAACCAGTTTATGGTGTTCTGCAGCTTCTCTCCAAGTTCAAGCAGAATGGCAGATACCAAAGGATGAAGTACATGTGCATTCTTCTTTTATCTCACAGATGATTATTGACAAACAATACACAAATTTCTATTTTATTTATTAATAATGTCAGCAGACCAGACAGATTTTCAAAGTGCAGTCAGGTTGCTTTTCTAAAATGACTTCCAACTCTGCTAACCTTAATTTGGGGTTGCCTTTACTGCAGAAACAGT